ATGTGGGTGTGGAGCGAACTGTGTGGGCATAACAGAGCGGCAATTACACAATCGGGTGGTGTAAAATATTCCAAATTGGGCTCAAAATCAGACAATACAATCAAGGCCTATTCCCTCGCAAAGAAACGACGGTCGAAACCACAAGATCCCATCATCAGCCATTGCTTGATATCTGCTGATGACGCAAAAACAAATCGACCGAAACACGGCGTTCCAGGTTATCTACAAGTCACGAATCGCAAGGTGGCTAAGGATCGCAAAAACAATTGCAATTAATTGGTGGAAGCCTCCCCTTGTCAACACAAAGAATTTTATGTTGGCTTAACCTGATGATTTGATCCTTTGACCTATTCCCCTTCTTATGTTTTAATATATTTTACTTTAGGGTGCTGGGTCCCCTTTTACTAGTTCAACAATACAGAAAGAAGACAAATGTCATGAGATGTTAACCCTTCGTTTATTCTTCTCAATCGCTGACTTTACTTTGGTACCATGCTAAAGTCCGATATAAAAATAGCATTTTCTGTAGTATGCACGATACAGTCAATCTCCTGCTGTGTCACATCCTTGAGAAGTCGCGTATTTCAATATCGTCCCAGTTTTTGGAAAACCCAAACCAACCGTATGCGTAATAACGTAATTTCTGACTATGCAATGTCGCACCCCTCAGTATGTCGCAGTTCCCGATGCCTACTCACTTGGTCGTTGACCGATGTTCGGCACGACCATTGACCATCCTTCCTGAACGTTCGCACTCAGCCAATGGCGTGCTTCAGCGGACGAGTTTCGAGCGGGGCTACCGCATTTGATACATGGATATGTTGACTGTGATATTTTCAATGCAGATGAAACAGCTCTGTATTATAGGCGTCTCCCAGAAAAAACATTAAGTCCGTCTTTTTTAAGAAGAAATCGCCTGTTTGGAATTTGATGATGAAGGAGTGAGTTAGTTAAAATATTTGTTTCTTTTTTAGTCACTAAATGGATTTGTTCCGAACCAAGCTAAACATCGCAAAGAAGATGAATGTGAAGTAGTTATTGTGCCAAAAGGTATCTCAGTAAGAGAGGTGCAAAAGTCACTGTATAAACTGAAACTGGTTGCTTTGGCTAATGTTCGGAGTTTGGGTCGATTATTGGAGTGTACAATTGATTTAAACAGCGAGTTTGTTGATTTCCAAAAGAGAGCCAAGCTGAGACAAACGACGATTTATGATTGCTGAAGATACAACAATTAGTTTGAATATGAGAAAGTTATTGTTTTGAGTATACCCCGTAACACATAGTTCACTCATTTTAGATAATGTTATTTCCTTCGAATGCGATGTTTTGTCTCACTGCATTCGAACTGGTTCACTTTTGTTTTTCTTGAATGTGCTAATAATGATGTGATTATTATAACTAATGCAGTTGTATATTATGGTGGACGTCATAAAATCAACTCTGTGATTAGCCTAACATTGCAATAGAATGGAGGAATATCTGGAAAAACTATGGGATAATTTGATCAGGAAAAACTCCCCTGAAGAAAGGTAGGTAGTTTCGGGATAACAAGACATTTAGAACTGAAAAAAGGATGAATACCACATGCAATGTACCAATATTAGGCTGAGGCCGTCATAAATGATCTTAATCTCTTCGATACTGTTGTGGCCTACAACTGACTGATTCATACATGCTTGTGGCCAAATTGATTGATTGATCGATCAGTTGATCGGCTAACTGACTCTGAATGCTGGCTTGACGGCATTCGCATGTAGTGCGACGTGTGAGCCGGAGTCGGCCTGCCTACCTACCTTCATACACGCTGATTGTTCCTACTTTTTCCCCGGTTTGTGTACCGGCTGCATATTTGCTGTTCACAATAAACTTACTGCTTCATTCGGTGTGTGCTCATTTACATACTAAATATTGGACACAATAGATACATAAAAGATACACACGACAGTAGATCTAAATTCCGCTACGAATAAACAGAGTATTATTCTAAACATGGGAACATTCAATGGAATTAACGAACGTTTTATCGATCCGGTTTATTTTTTTATAAAACTCCCAACCGATTTATCATACTACTTAATAGCACCTGCTACTGAATAACATACTATGTCGCAGTTCCCGAGGGGTGCGACAAAGCAGGAGATGGACTGTATTGAGATACAACGAAATCGTCCTGGACAGTACCTCGACATGGTCTTTTCTTTTGAAAATGGATTATGCTGTCTAAATAAATGAAGTTGTTGCTGTCGCATAAACAAGCAACTCTGAAATTAAAAGGGAAGGAAAGAAGCATAATATAACAGGCGAAAAAATTGAGTGAGAGAAAACAGGGTTAACAGAACCCGGCGGGGCCTTCGAAATTGGCCACGCGGTCCGCTACATCGTCGGACTCGGAACTATACAATCACTCTTCACTGGATTTATCTGGGATACACGTCCTTCGTTACCATAGAAACGTTGTGTGATTATGGTCATCTTAAATTCCGTGAAATACTCTGCCGTTTTCATGAAGCAACTTCGAACTTCTGGCCACCGGATTTTACCTTCTTTTGGCAAATCGGTTCGTAACAGGGAGAGAAGAATTTACGGAAATCTCAAAGAATTTCCCAGAAAACATAGAGCTGGATGGCAGGTCGCACCACGCAAACGACCAGTTTCAGACATCTGCATTCCAGCAGTCATCAGTGCAAATGTGCGCTCCCTGCTTGGCAACATGGCAAAAGTAATAGATCTGACAAGGAGACGTGAATATTCGAAGGTTGGAGTCGTAATGCTTCAGG